GAAGACGAAGGAAGAACTACATCTATGCATTGAGCGAAATCGGCGCGATAGAGAAAACCGTCCTTGGTGAGCCTACGAAAGCGCGCGCGAAGCATTGCCGTGGCTCCATGAGAAACTTCGCAGCTCCTGTGAGAACTGTCGAAATCCTCTCGACGAGCTTCGCCGAATCATTGGCGACCGCGTGACTGACGCTGGAGTTTCGTATCCGCTGCTGGATATGCTGTCGTCGATGTTAATGACGGAGGCCGGCTCGACGCTTCGGAGAACAATGGTCACACAAGGCAACCAAGATGTGAGATGCAGTTTTACCTGCCCCACGGTGGGCGCCAAAATGTTCCGGTATTGGAGACCGCCGCCGAAGAACCCTTAGCGATACCGTGCTAAAGGACCGGGCAGTAGTCTTAACCTAGAACATTCGATGAGTATCATTTTCTGATCAAGGAAGCTACTTATCACTTTTTAGGTACCAAACGAGTGGAGGCATGCGTGTATTAGGTTAAAGTGGCTTTTTTTAGGAATTCCATGATTTATGGGATTTGCTTGTCCTTTTTTGCCACAAAGTGTTTTGTTTTTTGTTATTTGTGAGTGTAACGTAGTGAGGATATTTTTGAGTTTAGTTGACTCTAGAGAGAGAATAGTATATAAGGGTTTCTCTGAGAAGGGAACTTCATAAGTTCATTCTCAAAGAAACTAGAGAGAAGTTTTAGAGAGAAGGATTCTAGGTCCGTGAGCTTTTTTCTCTCTCAAATTTTTCTGGTTGATTCTTCTTCTTCTCTAGATCACTAACTTATTCTGTCTTCTCTTGGAATTCAGGCTAGGAAGCTTGATTTTGAAGGATTGAAGTTCAGGAGTCGAGCTCGGAGGAAAGTTTTTCTTCTTCCCAAATTCTTGTTTGTTCGGAGCCAATCTTCAGGTGAGGAAAGCTAGAATGTACGTGGTTTGGCTGCATGGGAGTTTAGGAATCCCATTGATGTATGGAATTCGAGAAGAAGTGGTTGAATTGGGTGATTTCCTCATTTTTGGGGTTTTGGGAAAAATGGGGTTTTTGACAATTTTGATATATTGATTAGTTGCATGTTGAATTTGAACTCGTTTTTGAGTTGTAAGGAGTCTATATGTTGCATTTCTTGGATTGCATGTGGTTGAAGTTTCTGATTTTCATGTTTTGAAGGAATTTTTGAGGTTTTTGGAGGTTTCTGGTTGAATTTTAGCCGGGCACATTTTATCTGCGCCATGCTTGTATTCATCAAAAGCAGTTTCTGGATGAATTCACGCCGGGCCAGAGATGGCTGAGCCGTGAGTGAGTGTGCTTTCAGAATTTGACTTTATGGTCTTCAGGAAAGTGGTATCTTTGGATATTAGCTTTTCAATGGCGTTGGAATCACCTAAAAAGGAGGTCTATAACTCCAGATATGGCTGTTTTAGTGAAGAGGGGTCAAGCTACCAGCATTGGTTATAGCTGTTGCGGTTTTTAGAATTTTTAACAAGGTAGATGAAGAAATTAGGACTTGGTGTCTTCATGAGAGTTGTAGGAAATCTTCTTATCTTTCATATGGGATAAGGATGAGAATGGTAGGAGTATTATAACTCCTGATACGCTATTTTATGCAAAGGTTTCCATTTTACAAGAAGTGATTTGGTTAAGTTGAAAGTTGTTTTAGGTGCTTAGGTTGATTGGTGTTTTAATATATATATATAAATTAAATATTAATATTAAATAATTATATTTAATTTAAGGTATTATATATTAAATATTAATATTATATATATATATATACACGTATTAAAAACAAATTAATGTGCCCAGAACGGCCCGTTCCGAAAGTGGAACGGCCGTTCTGGGGTTATAAAGTACTACGCAAAGGCCAAAAGTGGAACGGCCCGTTCCAAAAGTGAAACGGCCCGTTCCAAAATTAGAACAGCCCGTTCTGCTTTCTTATTTTTCTCATAACATGCATTTTTGGAACGGGCCGTTCCGGGACCGTTCCAATTTCCACTGGCAGCAAAAATACCCTGCATAATTGATTATGCTTGCCTGCATAATCGATTATGCAAGGCCATAATCGATTATGCAAGGCCATAATCGATTATGTGGCCAATCGATTATGCTCCTTCGTTGAACGTGAATCCTCTGCACATGCATGGCAGGGGGACCTGCCTCTGGTCAGCCAATCTGGTCGGCCAATGGAAGACCACCACGGTATATAGCCTTCCATGCTCGAGCACTAAGGTGCGAAGAGCATGTTAGATCGGTATTTTACTGACGTGCCTTGGATCGGCCAATGAGAGACCACCACGCATATAATTAAAATAATGATCTCAAACACACTCTATGCGCGAAAAAAATTCAATACACTGTTTCATAGTTATCAAAATGTTTGAATCCAGCTAATTATAGTTTCTAAAATTGCAAGTGTAATGATTTCAATTCTCAAATTTATAAAAATATTTTTTAAATATTAAATATTATAAATGAAATACTAGAGTGAGAATTTTATAATTAAAATTAAAGTAATATTACTCCAAAATTTTATGTTATATACATTAGAATATTCGCATTTTGTACACGCGGATGTGTGGTGCGGACAAGTTATAAGATTCTATATCTTATGCACTGCGCAAATTAATAAAAAGTTAATAAAAAAAAAAACTTTTATTGGCCAGCCAATTGGAGCAGTGTCTTCCTGGTCAACCCCCATTCCTTAAAGACATCACTGTCCTGTCACACACCCATACATTAAAGGAGAAAAAAGATTCATAAAGGCAAATGATAAAAAAATATATATTAAAATTAATATAAAAATTAAGAAAGTTCCATATTTATCGATAAAGAATTTATACTTAACAAGAAATTAAGTATATTCCAAATTTTAACCCCACAGTTAATTAAATTCATAAATCTAATTAATCAAGAAGTTTTTTTTTTCCTTTCTTTAGAAAATTGAAACCACAACTACATAGAGCTAGCTATCCCTCAAAAGAAGGGTAGAAATAGTGGGGGAAGGCACCTCCCAAATACAAAGAGATTGGGTGATTGGGTCCAACGAGATCAACCAAGAACAAGCAACACCAGATAAGCATATTCATGAAACGGAGGGCAAACATTGGAATTAGTAATCTTAACAAGGTGATCGGATTATAAGATTCCACGCATAAACTTCGTTCTTATTCCTTTATCCCAAGCAAGACGATGACCATGAAGAAGCGCCAATTAATCAAGAAATTCTAAATTTTTAAAGTAATTTTTATCATAAATCTCTAATTATTTAAGAAAAAGGACGGTTTAATTGTTTCATGTAAAGAAAAATTAATGATTATAATAATTTTTTTTGAGAAAAATCAAATAGAAATCATTATGAAACTAAAACCATATTATTCGTTATATATCATTTTATGAACAGAAATACAATTAAACCGCAAAAGAGCTGAAGTATTCCCTCAATTTCCACCTATACTGTATAGTCACATACGATGATGATAATGATATATAGCACCGCATAACTTTTGCAGAGTTTGTCCTGCTAGAAGAGAGAGTAACTTTCTCGTGGTAAACCTTTTGACCAAAAGAGAGATGAGAATTTCATAATTCGAGAAAAAGAATCATTTTCTTCATAATTTTTCATATTTTTCCTTAAATCTCTCAATTTCAACAAATAGAAAAAACATATATATTACAGTATGAACATTTATTTTATTAATAAAAATAAAGTTAGTCAAATAAAATAATAGCTATAATACGGGATTACTAATCATATTAAGAATCACCTTAAGACAACAATTAAAAAATAATACATATTTTTTATTTATTAAAACTATAACAAATGCATTGATAAAGTTAACTATATATTTGTATAAAAAAATCATTTCTTAACCATCACCTTAGAAATAAATACAAAACTTTATAATAATTTGATATAGGGGTTGTGTATGTTATTTTCTTATCAGAAATGCAATTTTATTTCAATAATTTTTATATACAAGTTTTGACGGATAATTAATCTGTTGGTAAATATTCATGACAAATGCTGATTCCTTAAAAAAATATATTAATTTAAAAATAAAAGAATATTACAAATATATTATATTGTTTTTAAGCACATTTTTAACATGATTTTAATAAAAACTTTCTATCATCGAAAGTAATTAGTCAACACTATATATATTTTCCTTTGATGCATTAATAATTAGGGGGTTGCTATTGTATCCCTAATAAATGAGAGGTTTTGGTACTGTATCTGATGTGTATGTACACATCATTTAAATGTCATGTCAACCTTTTAAATAAGAATTATTTTGTATTTAAATTTTTATATTATTTATTTTTAAGTTTTTATAAATATTTTTATATTATACCATAGAAATCCTTGTCTTCGTGCACCGTGATATCGTTCTCCTCCTCCCCTCTTACGTAATGTTTATTTTTATACATACTTATTTTTAATGTAAAATTATACACAAATTTGCAATATAATTAATAAAAAAATAATATATAACAATTGTTATATATTTATTTCATATCTTTATATTTCAAAATAATAGTTATTATATTACAAAATTTTAATTTACATATATTAAAATATTATATAAAAATAAAAAAATTTCAATAAATTACGCAACGCACGGATCCATATCTAATTATAAAGAAAATTCGAAAACTATAATATAACCAAAAAGAGGCAGATTAGATACTGAGATTTGTAAAAGGGGCACATGACTAATATCATATTCGGGACAAACAACATAAGCAAATTCTTATAAACGTGAACTTCAGTTGTGAATTTTAAATAAATAAAAAATTTAAAATGACATGGATTTTACATGATGACACATAAATTTATATAAACGACATATCATCAATAGTACTAGTACCCTTCTTTTATAGAGAGTACCATAGAAATTTTCTAATAATTATATATTTCGTTTCTTTCTTGATAAACAATAAATGAATCCCCACAAAGCTACTCAATTATAAATTGTTCCCTTTGACCCTCCCACAACTCTCCATTGTACCTCACATCCTCTTTGTTCATTACTATACACTATTGAGAAGATTGCAAGGTATAGGTACATACTAGTACTGCGTCAATTCAACGTTGTTCATGGGGTTTGATATCTCTATCCCAGGGCTTCGACTTGGTCTTGGTCTTGGCCTCCACGATCACGATGAACACAAGCAAAGACGTCAAAGGCAGAAGAAAAAGGAAGCGGATCCGTGTAATAAGGCTTATCCATCACTTACGTTAGGACCACCACCCGATGATGACGTCGAGGCAAATAATAATGAACCAATTTCAAAGACCGAATCCGATGAATATTATTATTTCCATCCACATGCGTCTTCTCCAAGTGCAGTGTCTTCGTTTTCCAACTCGTGTATCAAGAGAGATAGAGATCAGTTCGCGGGAGAAGAGGTTGAGAAGATTCTGTCAAGGGTTGTCGATGTCCATGAAAATGGTAACCCCAACAAGAAACTTAGGCTCACCAAACAACAATCTGCAATCTTGGAAGATAGCTTCAAACAGCATTCTACTCTCACTCCGGTATCTTCAATTTCTAAACTCTACATCCACCTCCAACATCTTTTTACTATTTTCCAAGAAAACTTTGAAATTACTTTTGTGTTTTCTATTTGAATATATTAAAAACTTTATTTAAGGATTAATAAGATATTTATTTAAGGACTAAACAGTTTATGTTAGTTTATTTTTCTTTTTTTTACCAATAGTTGAATGGGTTTTAATTTATTTAACAAGCACCCTCTCTCCTTCTTTCACTCTGAATGTTTTTGTTTTTTTACCAACAATATATATCACAAAGACAGTAATGAATATTAGTTTTAATATTAATTTGTCATCATGCAACTATGGATCTATCGAACTTCACAGTAAGGGAACCCTAATAGTTCTTTCACTTTCGGTGTGCCTGAACTTATGCTATTACCTACAAAATTTATTGTGTAGTATATCAAGACTTAAGATTTTTTAGGATATATATATAGCAGCTTGTTAATTACTCCCAATTAATTATTACTAGTGCATACTAATATATTTTTTTTATCCATTTCTGTATACTAATATGATTTTGAGTCTTAATTTCGATGTTGATGTTTTAAAATGATTTGTTGTTATTCTGATCTGGAAGCCCTTTTAACGCACTTTGATTTACTCTGGCATTTGCTTCAGAAACAGAAGCAAGAATTGGCAAAGAAGCTGAATCTGAGACCTAGACAAGTGGAGGTGTGGTTTCAAAATAGGAGAGCCAGGTTAGTTTGGCTTATATATATTTGGACCGCATATTCATATAAATTACAAAAAAAATTTGTTTGATGCAGCAATCCATGTTTGCTGTAGATTAGAAAAATATTAATTACTAACAGTTTCTTTAACTCAATTTTTTAAATATATTTTAAATTATTAATTAAAAATATAAAATTGTGTAAATAAAGTAAAATATTTTATAATTTTGAATAAATTTTAATTAAAGAATGTAGCAGAAAGAATGTTTTAGAGAATAGATTATAGAATCTGTTGACGGTGTGATATTATCATTCTTGAATTAATTAATGTAATTGTTATATATGCATGTGTGTGTAGGACAAAACTGAAAGAAACTGAAGTGGAGTGTGAGTTACTGAAAAAGTGGTGTGAAAGTCTAAGGGAAGAGAAGAAGATGCTGCAAAAAGAGTTGGAAGAACTTAAATTGATGAAAGCAAGGGTGGGAGTGGGACCCTATTATATGCAGCTTCCGGTGGCAAGCCTTACAATATGCCCCTCGTGTGACAAAATTTACGGTGGCAGCGGCGCTACCAAAAATGGCTCCTCTCCCACCACGCCTTTGCTTCTTGGGCCCAAGGCCCATCATAGCTTCTATAAAAGTAACTATACATTCACCCAATCATCCGCAGCATGCTAGCTAGTAGCTACGGTGGCTAAATACAACTTTTTCCCGCATTTTTTTTCCTATGCTGTTAATTACTGTTTTAAGATATTAATTAAGCATTTAATAAATAAATTAACCTTTTTTATTTTATTAAACTCACAACAGAGAACACGTTTAAAATTATAATAACAATGTATTGATAATACTTTTTTTTTATGATTTTTTTTTCTAACTTTAATTTGTTAATAGTACCTTTACTTTACTATAAAGTTGACTGTGATGGTTATTTTTTTAATTTTTATATTTGTTAGAGTTATTTTCTTGAAGAATATGTCACTTTACCAGATATATATGCATCGGTATAACCCATATCCTATAAAAAGAAGTCTCTAAAAAGTAAAAATATTTTCGTTCAAAATAAAAGTTTATATTTAATATATAAAAATGAATATGAAACCTAGAGAGAGATCCAATATTACGTTTTTCTTATAAAAAAAAAAAAAAAAAAAAAAAAACTAAACTGTTACGTTTAACAAATAACTACCACCGAATCGAAACCCATGGCAATGACTATGAGTCCAGTCATTCCACTGAAAGCAATTTTTGACGGCGGGCCGGTCCATCATTCTCTTTGAAAAATTTTGAAATTCGGGCCAAATTTTAGGCCCTTTAGGGGCAAAAGGCTCAAATGGATCTACTAATGCATATCCCCTTGCAGTGGAAAGAAGCATTTGAAAATGCTTTGTATCCTATTTTGGTGCAAACTATTTCAATGATTTTGTTTATCCTATGACTTCAAGGTTTTCAGCTGTGGAAAGAAGCATTTGAAAATACTTTGTATCCTTAGGTAATTGAATTTTTATTGCTTCATGATATATACATCTCCTTTTTTCCTATAAGTACACCTCCTTTTAAAAAAAATAATTAAAAATTTTAAAATATTTTTTAATTTTTTGTTTTAAATTTTTTAATTTTACATCCACAACATTTAATTTAGTATTTTTTTTTCACACATCTTTCCTTCTTTTTTCAATTTTTTATATACCTTCTTATTTTTCCTTCACCCCACCTATTTTAGTAACATGTGAAAATTGAAAAAGAGAAAAAAAAAAGTGTGTGAATAAAAAGAAAAAAGTAACAAATTGAAAGTTGAAAGTGTAAAATTAATTTTTTTAAAAAAAAATTATAATATTTTATAATTTTTTTTTAAAAGGAGGTGTACTTATAAAAAAAAAATGTATATATCATAAGCCTTTTTATTTTATAAAAAAAAGGATAGTAACAAATGTTACAAACCCAACTTATTTGAGTTTTGGGCTTTTTAATAAAATAACCGTGATGTGTATCTCATCATACCTTCGTCATATTGAAACTTGAAATTTTAAGGTTACACACACCGTTGGATTTTATTTTATTTCTTTGAAGGGACCACGTAATTTATTAAATCGGATTAAGAGTTACATCATGAGAAGTAAAGACTTTCAAGGTGACTTATCATGCTAACAAAAACATTCATTCATTTATTATTTATCAGTTAGGTAAATAAATTCATTCAATTTATTCATTACAATAAAAATAAATAATTAATAAGATTTAATTTATTTATTTAATTTTATGAATAGTTAAAAATTTATTTACT